GTATTTTTTTTTTTTTTTTTTTTTTTGCTTTTTTTGCTCACGCAAAATAGAAGCAAAAACAACAAGCGGTAAAAATAAGGCACGACACACACGACACACGCCCGTCTCGCTGTCGTCGGCTAAGATCCCCCACACCCCCCTCTGCAGTACCTCCTGATCATATGCTATATATATATATATATATATATATATATATATATATGCATATATGCTGGCTTGCCGTCGTGTGAAATATATTGGAGACAAACGGGCACTTTTTATATGTTAGCTGCAAAAATTAAGTTTCAGTACGGCGCAGGTTTGCGAAAAGATCGCAGCGCAGCGAACTGCACAGAGTGCAAATTGTTTTCCTTGTTGGCCTTAACTAACGGTAGACGTGTGCGAGACGCGCCCACACAGACACACACACACACGCATATATATAAATATCTATATATTATATATATGCTCATTCATAATCAGTTTTCAATATTGAAAAAAAGAAAAAGAAAAAGAAAAACTGTTTGAACTTTTGTCGCGTTGTCTATGTGTGTGTACGTGCGCGCGCGTGTGTGTGTGTGTGCGTTAAGTGGATTTCAGGTGTGCGTTCCGTGTGTGCCAGTGCATCTGTGTGTGTGTGTGTGTGTGCATAGTTCCAGTTGATATCTGCCAATTGGCATTCCAACTAGACGACCGGCGCATTCTTTGCTGTCATGTGCGAAATTCTTTCACTTGATTAAGCCCGGCGACCCGGTTCGATTCGTTTCGGTTCGGTGCGGTTCGGCTCGATTCGCATCGTTTTCCGCTCTCTCTCGCTCGCTCTCTATCTATCTCTCTCTCCATTGTTTTTTTGTGGTTGTGCTTTTTTTTTTTTTTTGGGGTTCGGTCCTTTTTGCGGTCTCGTGGTCTTTCATCGATTTACGCAGGAATTCGCTGAATTTACGTTTGCTCAATGTCAAATTGGCGTTCGACTCTGGTATGCGATACACAAAATACACTACAAATACAGCTCTAGAGTATAAGAGATTCCTGTCCGTTTGCCTCGACTAACCGAAGTGCGAATGTGCTACAAACAAAATCTAAATATTTGAAAAACATCATGTGAAACTTAGTTTGATAGTTGACAAGGAAAAGGAAAAATATTTAAATGGAAAAAAAAAAATATGAAGAAGAGAAAGGTGAAACTGAATTTCTAAATTAGTAAAATGTATTTATAAAATAAAAAATAAATACAAATAATTATTGTGTACTTCAAAAAGGAAAATTACAATAAATTTGTTTTCCAAATTAAAAATTAAAACTAAAACGAATTTTTATTAAAATTACAAACTAAAAAAATAAACCATAATCTCTCTGACAAAAAGCTAAGTCAATATGCCCAAAGTTAGAGTAATTAAAACAAATGCAACTGGCATTATCATGCGACTCCAATGCAACTAACAAATGCCACAGACTGTTATCGATAACACATTGTTATCGTTGCACATTGCTACAAGTCTTTTCCCGCTGGCTTTTCTTTCGTTTGGCTACCCTTTATTGTAGCTGCGTCTCGCTCGCACTCGGCCGAATTCCTGCGTTTGCGTCTGTTTCACTTTTTGTTACCGAAATAAATACAAGAATTTAGCGACTTGTTTAAAAATAAACTGGAATGTTTTTTTTCTGTTTAATAGTTTTTTTTTATGTTAGTTGCCTTTTTTATTTTCTGGGAATTAGCTAAAAACGCCTATGGCCGAAAAGTTTTTGTTGTTCAGCAGGGCGAAATATGGTATTTCCGGTCAAGTTGTTGGATTTGTTTTGGCAATACGAATGCAAATTACTTTGGACACACTGTGCAGCTGAGAGCAGCACTTGTCAGCACTTTTTCAGCTTCTTCGCCCGCTTCTCCATTTGCTCTGGACGCAAGGGGCTTATACACTTATTAATTATGGGTCTGAGCGAGTTTTTATGATCGCGCATAAATTGCAACTGAACGTTGATCCCAGAGCCAGAACCAGAAGCAGAAGCAGGAGTCCGTGACGTGATAAAAAAAAAAAAAAAAACAAAAACAAGAGCCAGACAGAGAAAGAGTCTGCAGCGGGCGCAAATGAAGAGGCAATCAAATAAATTGCAAAAACAACAAACACCAAAAGGAGATCAACACAAAAATATATCGCAAAGAAACAGTAGCCGCGCGAACTGAACAGGGGCAGCAGGGGGCGGCGCACACAGGAGACAATAACATTTGTAGCCGCTGATTATAATGATGATGCTGATGATGATGAGTCTGAGTGCTGCTGTTTCATAGCACTGGAATTTCAATAAGAAAACATAAACAGAAAAACAGAATTGTGGGCAACAAAGCTCAAATACTCTGCAATAAATTTTGAATAATTATTGACTTGTGATTATATATAAATAGCTCTGTCAAGTACAGGAAAACCGAAGATATAGGATAAATATAGCTATAAAAAATATATAAAAATATATTTTAAAAAAATATATATAAAAATATATAAACACACCTTTGATATAAGCTTAGGAAACATCATAGCTGATAGCTATAAAGTTAACGCCTGATCAAGAATATATAAAAATATATACATATATATATATCTATACAATCCTCCATTAAGTCAACGTTATCTCATCTACCCTTTGGCTGTCCATTAAAAAACTACTTAAGTCTGATCATAAAATTGTGACTTGAGTATGGAAATGAAATTGACTGTTTTTTTGTTAACGCTGGCGTGACTTTTGGCTTTGTTTGGCTGTCGATCAAATTTGACATGCCCCAACCCGCCCTGGCCGCAGTTCAACTGTTTGTTTCTGCATCAATCTGTGTCTGCGACGTCATATCAAAGCGAAATGCCAGCGATCTCTGGACATATTAAGCGAAGCAGCCAACTAGTCAAAATGTCTATCCAACTGTCTTCCAGTCTGCTTGCTCCACTGTCTGTCTGTCTGTGACTCCAATGACAATTAGTGAGCAAAACAGCAGCTAAAGTCTGTAGAGAGTTGCGCAGAGAATTGTTGTCTCTATATCGAAATCGTGCATCATGAATATAAAATGCCACGCAAAAGTCATTCCACCTTTTATTTTATATTTTTTTTGCTTTTTCCTTACCCTTTCCCCAGGCAGAGGGACAGACAGAGGCACAAAACAGCAAAACAGCAACTATGCCATTAATTTAGCTACTTTAATTTTAGCCTATTTTTGTTGTAGCTTGTAATCTTTCGTCATATAACAGCAGCAGCAACAACAACAGCAACAACAACAACAACAATGCAACAGGCATAGCAGGCAGAGTGGATAGACATAAGCAAGCAGCCTAAGCATAAGCCATCAGTGCAGTGGGGGACAATGCCGTTGTCTGCCGTTGCCTCTTGTTGTTTCTTATATATTCAGCAAACAAGTAAGAATGTTGCTGCAAGCGGCTATGACCAGCTGCATGATACCCGGCCAAGCAGAAACCTTTCAGTTTATCATAGTTAGAACTTAGGGTATATATATCCAGTCAACTGTCTAAATCCAAATACGAAGCTAAAAAATTGAAGCACATGCAAACCCTATATACCCTCTTTACGCTGTACGAGCGAGTATAGGAAAACGCACGACAACGTGGATGATAATAAAAGTGAAGTCTGCGCGAAGTGCAACATAAATTTGTGCAAAATATTGCGCATACGCACCGTTTGCCGTGCGCTTGTTTTGCGTGCCTTGGCAAAGAGTGCCGACATAGACACACACACACACACACACACACACATTCACACACACATACATATGTTGCGTTATTTATGCCCGCGTCTGTGGCTGATCAACAGCCACATACCCTTTGCTTACACTCCCCCCATCCCCCCATCCCTCTCTCTCTTTCTCTCTCTAAGTGCCCTGCTTTGGGCAAAGTTCTGGGCGGGAGATGTTGGGAAATCATGTTGCGACAGAAACATTGTAATAGGGACAGACGACAACAACGAAGACGAACAAAAACAAAGGAAGCAGTCGAAAGACAAAATAAAGCAACAACAACAACAACAACTCAAAAGTGGGCGACCACACAGCAGCGTGCACTGTGAGAAAAATGTTAGGCAAATATTACATGTCGGAACTTATTTTAGATATAGAAATACTTGAATATAAGAAGTTAAACAAAACATCTGACATGCTGCAACAATTAGCACCAAAGAGCTTAGATTTAAGTGAACTATTAAATATCACGTATACGCCATGTTTATTCGTGCCCTACGATAATGTCAATATTTTTAGAAAAATATATGTTTTTAGTTTTAAAATTAGTATATTCAAAAGCTATTTAAAGCTATACAAATATTAACTAAAACTGAATAATATATTATATATCAAGTATACGCCAGGTATTTTAAAGCTCCGGTTATGAAAAAGGCCCTGAGATGAATCTAATATCAATGCAAAGAACTTATCGTATAGTTTACCTATTTAAACATCTTGATTAATTGACATTCCGAGAAAGTTGACTTTCTGGAATATATTTCTAGAACTATTTCAGTATGTGGATAAACTGCTGCGTCATTCTAGTCACACTCCTTACGAGAAATTGTTAACTTTCTGAATTAGCCATTCACAATTAACGTATTATTCATTGCGAGTCCTTAAAGGCTGTTTTCAAATATGCAGCAAGGGCTCGCAGGGAGTACAGCACAGTTAGCAATTATCTCCATTATACTAATCTCCATTACATCTATCTCTCGCAAATATTTTCACCCTTTATTTGTCAACCCTTTCGCCCTCGCTCTTCTTTCGCCTTTCTCTTTTAACATCTTTCGCATTTTGTTTTCTTGTACAACTTTTGCAGTTGCCGCGCATTGGGTCAGCTTTGTTGGGGCTTCAATTGATGTTGCACTGCGGTCGCCGTCGCCGGGTGCAGTGAACTATCAATTCGCATACAGTTGACGCTGTGGCCCCCACGCATTCAGCCCAAGGCGCCGCGGGGGCCCGCTGTACAAGCACATGGTTAGCGCTCAATTTAACGCTACTGGCAACAATCCTATTGTGGTCGGCGCAAGCCCTCGCGGTGCCCATGCACAGACGCGCCAATAGTCCAGACTATGCCCAAAGGCCGAGTATTGCATACTTGCGGGCGCAGCAGGACAACAACAACAACAACAACAGCAACAACAGCAACAGCAACCAGAGAAACTCCAACTTGAACAAAATCTGTCGGACATGCGAGCAGAGCAAGAGCAGCCGATTGTCAATGCAAGCATATCGCAAACCTATTGGAAACGTCGCAAGTGGAAGCGCTGTGAGTGAAAGTGTATATAGTGGTGCATACGATACGCACAGCGTTTCGCACAGTGTATATAGTGCAAATAATAAGTTAGATTTAATTATAAACGGCAGCCAGAGCAAAGTGTCGCCCAAACATAATTCGCTGCCAGCCACAAATTTACCTAATAAATTACCAACAGCAACAACAACAACAACAACAGCAGCAGCAACGACAACAACGTCAACTGTTGCAACACGCGCCTATTTCTCGGTGCCCGTTTTCGCCTTTGCCACGCCTTTTGAACGTCGCGCCGCGTCGCACTCGACTGCCATTGGGCCCTCGGCATTCGGTTCGCCCGCGTCCATGTTGCTGCCATATCAAATTAATCAACGTGCTACATTGTTGCAAGCAACGCAAACGGCAACAACAATTGCAACGGCAACGGCTGTGCCTCATGTGCCAAAAGCAACAACAACAACAACAACACGCAACACTCTGCACGCTGCGCATCGAATTTTTAATCGTGATACAGTCCGAACAGCGACCAACGCATCACCTTTGACACCACAACAACAACACCAACAACAACAACAATTTACAACAACTTCAACAACAACAACAACACCAACCACAGCACGAATCGAATTCATACTCTATACAGAGCTATACGAAGAGGATTCAGACAACGATACAAATACAGCGAACAAGCAAAACTTTTGGCACAAATACGGTGAGTAGGTAATATAATCAAATACAAATGCAGAAAGGGCTTCAACTATATATTGATCAATGCATATATCTGTATACGTGTATGTATATAAATCTGGAATAATGATAAAAAAAATAAATAAAATAAAATAAAGATAATAAAAAATGTATATAAATAAGTATAGAAAATAGCATAAAAATAAATGAAATGCAAATGATAAAAATTTTAATAAAAATTTCTGCCGGAATTAAAAACTAAATAAAAAAATTCATTAATTAAAAATAAATTAAATAAATACAAATTTTTAAAAATATATAGAACATAACATAAAAATAAATGTTTGAAAATGATTAAAACTGGAATGCTAAGAATTTAAATATATGAAATATATATATATAAAATAAATATGATAAAAAAAATAAAAAAATAAAAATTATATATTCCGGAAATATCAAAAATCAGCTGATATTGATTATATTTTTATTTATGTTGAAATAAATAATTTCATCTTGCTTGAAATAAAGATTTGTCTTGAAATGAATATATTTACATTTAGTTAAGCAAATATGAAATCATTTATGAGTAGCTCAGAATTGGAATTTTGATTTAAAAAGTTAATCTAGTACAAAGTCAACTAAGCTTTAAACTCACATTTTTAAATGGGTTCAAAGCAGAAGCGATTTTCCTGATATTCTGCCGAATTCTCTTCAAGTTTTGACATCTAAGTTGATTGTATCTACTAAATTTGATGTAATTAATTTGTTTTAATTAAATTGCATATCATTTAATTTTAATTGATTTAATCAAGCATCATATTTTATTATATTATATTCCGTTCTTCTATTTCTAGTTCCCATTTCATATACAAGGCTATTACAGTCGATCTATATATTTTAAGGTTGTGAAAGAATGAAATCAATAATCAAGCTCATTCACAATTGTTATTTCCTTTAATTATTATTATTTCCTCATAAATTAGTAATCAACTCTATGTGTATATTATCACAGCTCAGCTTTAGCTCCACTTAGAGAGAGAGAGAGAGAGGGGAAGTGTTTGTCTGCTGCTCAGCTCCACTTATTAAGCGGGGAACTGTTTGTTGACTTGCTGTGAAGATGTAGATGTGGGTTTGCTCGAGCACAGCTGCTGCTGGTTAACATAATTTTCGTGGGCATTTTGCAACTCATTTTTGACTGCGAGCTAAAGAGAATAACAACAACAATCACAACGACAGGCGACCAGCCAACAAAAATAAAAAAAAAAACATAAAAATAAAAGAGAGCGCAAAAAAAAAAATAAATAAACAGAGAAAAAAGCTGAATACAACTTTTTCCAACGAATAAATTTCGAGTTTTCGATAGTCTCGGTCTGCCACAGACTGTGTCGTTGTCGACGTTGCTGTTGCTGTTGCTGTTGCTGGTCGTCCAGACAGACGGAGACCTGGCCAGCAACAACAACAACAACAACTTGCAGTCTGAGTAGCTGCGCTCTACGTGGGCTCCAACAGCGTCAGACTGTCTGGTATGCCACGCTCTCACTCTTGCCGCAGCATGTGTGAGAGTGTGTGTGTGTGTGTTTGTTGTTGTATGTGTAACGGCACTACGTTTCGTGATTGCCACATGTGGCTCCTTCTCTGTCTGTGAGTGTGTGTGTGTGTGTGTGCAGTTGTCGCTGCGTTGTCTGACTGTGTCTGGCCTCTGTCTCTGCCCCGCTCGCAGTCTGTCCTTCCATCTATCCATTTGTCTCTCTGTCTGTCCGTCCGTCTGCATCGTCTGACTGTGTAGGCGTCAGCCCCTCGTCATCATCATCATCATCATCACGAGCTGGCGGTCGCATTGGCCAATGCATAAAATTATACAGAGACATGACATGGTTTTGAATAATTAAGCGGAACGCCAAATGGCCTCCGCTGCCACGCCTTCCCTTTTGACCGTCCCTCTGGAAGGTCTGGCGACTTTTTAGAGTGCCCAACATGTGCATTGCATTGCAGGGATTGCTTAACACTCACAGACACACACACACAGAGAGTTATCCCCTACATCGTTGTCATTTTACAACTCAATTTCGAAAGGATTAGAACTTTTGCCGCCTGAGTCCAAGGACTTAACTTTGAAGCTTTGGAGCAAATGCATTTGGCAACAATTTTGGAGCAGTCGCGGCGCTAGAGATTAAACCTAGTTAGCCATTATATATTAGCGATGGGCGTGTCTCGTGCGTGAGTCTTGGATATAAATAAATATTTTTGCAGAGATATATAGATAAATATATATATATACATATATTCAGATTAATTATTTATTAGGCTTACATTTTCTCTGAGACTTTCTATGCAGCGACCTTCTTTCGTGTCACGCACGACACGCTGTCAGCACTGGCTTCTAGACAGCATTCAGCCACAATGACAGACATTATTGACAGCTGAGAATTCTTGGCTCATTTGAAACACACTGGACACAGGTAAAATGTTTGCTGCTGCTGTTGTTGTCATTGTTGTTGTCATTGTTGTTGCTGTTGCTGCTGTTGCCACTGTTGCAGTTGCTTAGCTTTGCTCTGCTTTGCTCTGGCCTGCTCTGCTTCGAGCTGTCACAGTTGTCTGCTGTCTGCTGTTTCCTGTTGCTGCGCGGCAGCCGCGACAGACAGCGTCTGTAGTCTAGACATAAGAGCAAGCCAAGGGGCCAGCCACGCAGGGCCAAAAGGAGCGAGGGGTGAGCGCTGAGGTTGCCAGCTCGAAGCTCAGGTGAAACCCAGTGCGCGCACATCAACCGTCTGTTTTGTCGTCTGTAAAAGTTATGGCCTAAAGAGTTGTCGTTGCTGGCCGCTTTGGCGGTTCGCTGGTTACGCTGCCGATGGTGGTGCGGCGGTGCGGCGGTGCGGCGACAGCCTTAGATCAGAAGTGCAGTTGGCAGTTGATTTATGGCGGCGTTGAGTGCCTTTATGCGCACCTCAAATATGACAGAAGGCGTTGCAAGAGCGAGCAACAGCAACAACAACACACGAAACGAATAAATATGAAAAAAAAAAGAAATACATAAAACCTGTTACAAAGCCAGCTCCTGCTAGCTGGCCCTTGCCCCAGCCACCTGCGCTCCTGCCAATGCTCGGGGGCAAAACATTGACGGAAGTTGTCGTCCTTTTGCACCCTTTCCATTTGTTCGCTCCGTTCTGTTGTCCATTCACGCAACGAGCAAATTGTGGCAATTACCTGGTGCCTGGTATCACTCCGCTGCCCCCCCCGCACCCCCGCGTGCCTCTGGCCTGTGTCGCATATTTGCTTGCTCCACATTGCTGTCGTTCTTGTCGCACCATTGCTGCTGTCAAAGTTACCGGCGTTGCATGCTCAGCGATGCGTGTCGACAGCATATCAAACATATCCACATCCATCTGTCTGTCCACAACACACACACACACACACACACACACATAGACTTTGTGTAAGTGTGTGTTGACCAGCCAAGCGCCTAACTGCCCAGCGTCCATTATCGAGCCGACTGTCCCTTCGGCAACCCTTCCGCCTATATAAAAAGCTTTGTTTTGCAATAAATGTAATTACGTTCTCCAATTGTATTCAAAATGTTTAAAGTGAAACAGAGAGAGAGATAGAGAGAGACAGGCAGATACAAACAAATTGAAGAGTGTGAGAAAGCAAAAGTGACAGATCTTCCTTGAGCGAAAGGGAGAGTGAGATAATAAGGAAATGAGTGAAGATGAGAGCGAGAGAGAGAAACAGAGAGATAGAGAGAGACAAATAGTGTGAGAAAGTGAGGGAGAGAAAGAGGAATAGTGTGAGAAAAAGATAGGAGAGGAATAGTGTGAGCAAGTGTGATAGAGGAAGAAAAGAAGAGAGTTGGAAAAAGATATAGCGTAAGAAATGGGAATAATGAAAGGGAGATAGAATGATAGAGAGGGAGAGCAAAAGAAATGGCTTCGGATTAGGAGATATGTCCAAAGCCTAAATACCCTTTCTTCTTATTCTATTTGTACAAACACAGTCATCACCCTTTAAGTTAAGCATTTGAGTAGAATCCATTAAAATAATAAACCAATCATCTATATTTTAAATATTCTGTGACTCCATCTACATCTATCTCCAGTAAGACATGTAACTGATTCTTTATAAAACATATACAATAAATCTACCTATCGAATATAATCTACCATTAAATTGAAAGAATAAAACTATAAGAGTTGTCTAGCTTTGTTCATATTATTGATTCACACCCAACCCTTGCTCAATACCTCGACTCGATCTAGATTTATATATCTGGCCAAAGATTTATTAAATACAATTTAAATGCCGCAGACAATCTAGCTGACATGGCAGCCAGAGTGTCGGCTAAAGTCCAAAATGACTTTTATTAAAATACCATAATGTTGTGATTGTTTATCTCTTTCTTCTTCCTTTTTTTGCGGTCTGTTTCCTTTAGTTCACGTCTTGTAAAATTTTGTGAATATATAAAACATCTTCTGAAGCTTCTTGATTCTACAACATTATGTTTGCCGTTGCTCATTCACTATCGGATGTGCCACCCAATACTTTAAAATCAGAATTCGATCAGCACGTAAACTTCGAATAGTTAGTCAACAGCTCGGGCAGCACAGATATTGGATATATAGATTCTATTCGGGAACATAATCTGACCAAGAAAAAGAAACAAAAGAGAAGAGAAATAAGTCAGAGAGTGAGAGAGAGAGAGAGAGCGATAAAAGCTGCAATGGTAATGTGAAGCAGATGAAACCGTATGATGCGAATGACGGCCATCGAGTCGAGAGAGCCAAAGCGAAAAGCCGAACCATGTTGGAGTCGAAGAGAGCTAGAGGAGTGCAGGAGTGGAGAATGGTGCACGGGGTGCCCGGCACAGGCACAGGCACAGAAATTGCAACCGATAATAATTATTTTTATGGAGTCTAGTCTGTGTCTAGACGATTTTTTTTTTCGTGCAGTTACTTCACTTGCCATTGGGCGAACAGCAGGTCGGGTTCAGCTCTCCCTCTCGCTCTAGCACTCGCACTCGCTTCGACGGCTGTGGTCTGCTGTGGTATTGGCGGGGCGGCTGGGGGTTTGCCACTGTGTCATTGTTTTCGCTTTGATTCCGATTTAACTGGTAAACTGGCATTTAACTGTTTCTCTTTGACAAACAAGACAGACGGGCGAGCGGCTGGGCGACGTGTGGAAACCGCCAGACAGACAGAAAACTCTGCACCAAATAGAGCTGGAAGACAAGTAAGAGTGTTTAGCTGGCAAGTGGGAGCACGACTAGCAGATACTCAGCAGTGAAATTGTATTGAATATATATTCGACTCGACTCGACCCTGGCTGTGGCATACTGCTTCACAAAATCAATATACATCTCTGACTCACTTACAATGCGTACAGGGTATAATAACTAGTGAGCGTACAAACCGACTTCAACGAGACGTTAAGACAATCAGACAATCAGACAGACAAACAGACAGACTCTCCGAGAGTCCACAAGCATGAGGAAAAGTCAAGCCGCGCTTACTTCTCTGCCCACAGTCTTCAGCTTCCGTTTGCAGTTGCCCACTGCAGTCCAGTTTGGCCATGAGAAAATATGCGCAACTCCAGCCAACTGCTGCAATTGCTGATGCAGCGGCATGACATCCCCAATTGCATCTTCAGATTGGCCACATTTTGGACATCATGTACATATATATATATCTCCATATATAAATACCATCTATTTGGATTTTTTGTCTGAGCTCGAGGTGTCGGGCGGCAGATAGCCAAAGCGCAGACGCGCCTGCTCATACAACATAAAGGTGATTATCGTATTCGGACTGATGCGCAACAGAGCCGGTACGAAGCCCTTGTAGAAAGCTAATGGACCCTGCTTCATCGTGTGCACAATGACAGCGCCCAGACCACTAAATTCACCGGGCGGCGCATTCATATAGGTTGTCTTCATCACATCGATGGGCTGTGTCATTAGTGTGCCAATAAAACCGGCTACTGTGGATGTTAGAAAATGCAATGGCAGTCCCTCCTTCATGCCCATCTCGCGCTGCAAAACCTGCTTAACCTGGTCATAAGCGGCATTGGTGCCAATTGTTAAAAATACGGCCCGCGACACGGCTGGCACTGTGCCGCGAAATAGATTCTTAACCCCCTCCTCCTTCGCGATCCGATAAAGGCCATCGAAAACGTGCTTATAGCTGGGGGGAATGATAACGGTGCATTAAATAGGAGAGAGAGACAGACAGAGAGAGAGAGACAGAGAGAGAGAGAGAGGGAGAGAGTTTCGATTTAATATGATTAGCTATGCTAATTGTGAGTCATATATTAAGTTTTAAGCAAGGTTAACGATACTATCGATTTAACTGAAACCTAAAGTCGATTGCAAAGTGAACCTTTACTTTAGCAGACATAGATAAAATAGATCTAGTAGTCGATACTTATAGATTTTAGGGGAACTCCAGAGTCAATAGATTATCAATATAAATGTGATCTGGGTTTGGTATAATACACACATAAAAACGATCTAATTTTGTCTATAGTCCTGCAGTACTATTTAAATTGATCAATAAACTAGAGCTAGAATTTCATATCTATCGATTTTACTAAAAAAAATTTGATGTGCCAATCATCATGAGCCCAGCTCCATGAACAGATAAAGCTAAACTATATAGAGCTCTATGCCAAATGTAGAGCCACTTGATGTGCATTCATATAAATATTTGATAGGCAAAACTTATCTTAAAAAAACTTGCATAAAGAGAACAATGAACTGATGATCAACTAATTCAATATATAAACTTTTTTCTATTGAACCCATCCCTAGCCCTATCCCTATTCAGACTGACTGTCCATCACTATAAATATCCCATTCGGACCATCGACTGATTAGTCATCTATTATCCTGATCGTGATCTCATTCAATGTCCAAACTCATCAAATTGATTTCAGTGCTCACCCGCGACGCTCGGCCGGTGGAAGCTTGGAATCATTCTGTAACCGCACTGTCACCACATCACCCGGCACGCCCAGAATTCCGCCAAAGAAGCCCGCAAATGTGGCCAACTGGAACTTTGCTGACATATTGTTGGCATCTACAAAGTTCTTGCCATATTCGTACAGCGCAAAGCGGGCCGTGGTGTAGGTGAGCTGACGAAACCACGAGGCCGAAATGCCACTGTAAAAGCCCAGGATGCCTAGAACGAATTCATTTGGTACTTCATTCTATTGCTGCTGCCGTACTGGCATCACGCTTACCCGAATTCTTATAAATGTTCGCAATCAGATGCGAAACGGGCACCCGCTTCGACTGTGTCTGCAATTGAACCTTTACCAAATCCAGCGGATGTGTCGTCGTCACAGCCATCGCGGAACATACCCCGCCCGACCACCAACGTGGCAGGCGCCTAGAATCTAATTCACTCATTACCTCACACTGAAATACCGAATGATTTCTATAAAAACGAGTTGCGTAACAGCGGTGCGACGAAGAGTCCAAGTGTCATGTCTCACATTAATTTTGACTAAGCAAACCAACTGATCTATCAATAATTTAAATGTATATATTTAAATCTATATATATATAGGAAATTTTGAAAAAAAAAAAAATTGAGTTGATTATTGATTCAAAGCTCATCCAACCTTTAACTAACTAATTATATATGTCATTTACTATACAGCTTTCACCAGGCCATATGTATATTATAGTATATATATTTCTATGTTTTTTTTTTTTCGAAAAAAACTTCGTTCTCCAATTTTTTATCTCATTCATCATATTCTGATTAATTATCTAACCTCTTAAATAGTGATACTCGATACTCCCCTATGGGTAAAACTTCAGCTTTTATGAGGCGAGGATGAATTTCAATTTCAGCGATTCTGCAGACTAATAAAATAGAAGTACAGATAGACAACTGGACGTACATTTGGATACTTGGTCGGACAGACAGACGAACATTCAGAAAAAATCACCAGACGGAGAGCCAGCCGAACGAGCCATGCATAAAACCAATAGGCACCTTGCTCACATTTTGTCGATATTAGAACTGCAACGCATTTTCTGCCAGTGCACCTCGACGCATCTTGTGTCGTGCGCATTTGTAGCGACAATAAGCGACACCTTTTACTTTTCCTGCAGTTGGTCTTCTGGTATTTCGCATCGTTGCATCTGCTGCTGGCGCGCTCAACTGCTGCGATATTATGTTATTATGGCAATTATAGTTACGACACGATTCGCGCTCTTTCATGTGGCGGCATCTATGGCATTTTTTGAATGTGCACAGATTTGCTCGCAGCGATAAGAGAGCGATGCGAAAGCTGATGCCGATCTGATGCCGCATTGCAATTACAAACATTTTAATGCAATTAACACACACGCACACCTGGGCCTACATCTGTGTGTGAGTGTGTGCGAGTGTGTGTGTGTGTTGGTAAGGGAAACGCTTCGCTGCTCATTTGCCTGGCCGATTGCAATTCGAAACGCGGCGGCATCGCCAAAAGACAAGCTCAAACTTCACAAAAAAAACAAAAGCAAACAAAAATACAACAACAAAAGCAACTTCAAAGCGTTTGCGACATCTGTGCGTGTGTCAGTGTCGATTTCAACCCACTATGCAGCACCACCACCACCACCACCACCAAGGTTTGCCTCTCTGAGGTTTGCCGCCCCGGACTGCTATCAGTGTACCCGATACGTCCTCCTCGTTGTCGTCGTCGTCGTCGTCGTCTTTGTCGTCCTCGTCTTCGCTCCTCGTCTTCTTTGTAGTTGCCGCGTTGCACTTCTTTGCAATGTCTCTCTCGCTGGGTATGTGTGTATGTGTGTGTGTTTGTGTTGGCCAAGTCTAACGAGCCAGTTGGCCAAGTTGGTAATAAGGGCCAGTTGGACATGCCACAGGCCGCAATATGGTTACAACATGTCAGCGTTCACATTCATGTCCACCTCCTTATGGCCACTGCCAATGGCAAATGCAATCAGTTTGCGCTTCATTTCACCCAAAGGGCTCTTCACTTGGCGTATTGTCTTAATTATGGCTAACGTGTGTGTCTGTGTGTGCACAACAAAGGGTCAATGGGTTAAAGCGTGTTTGTATACTCCAAGAAAAACGAGTTGAAATGGAAAAATTGTAATTAGCCTCAATGGAAATGTTGCAATCCCTAGAGAAATTCTAAGCTAATTGCTTAGTTCTATGCAGCAGAGTTTAGGATTTATGAAAGGGAAGTATGCCTCGAATGCTGAATTTAAGACATTTAAAGAATGTAAAACGATTTATATATTAATAATAGTTGAGGAATATTATATATAATTTTTTTGCAGGGTCCGAGAATAATCAATCTCAAGAGCGACTCTTCAAAATTTGGAGTTCTAGCTAGCACTACATCTAGCTACATATATTTGCTGATGCGTCACGCCTCTTTTACCCTTCTTAAGAATCGTAGCTCAGATTCACATAGATTCGCAAGTATACCGGAACCAAGCGATTTCTTTTCAGTTAAGATAACAAAAGTTTATGTTAATAATTTTTTGGTGCCTCTTTTAACAATCATATTGATATCATATATGATGATCATATTGATACAAATTGATTTTTAACAGAGAATAGTAAAGATAATTTAAGCACTTAAATGAATTCCTGATGCGTACATGATATTTTTAATTGACACAAATCAATTTGTATAAAATTAGTATAAGCTGAATGAAATTGTTACGCTATTTGGCTTGATTTAAATAATACTCAAACAGCGAAGTATGAGTATTTTGGGTAGCAGAACCTTTTCAGAAAACATTAATTGGCTACCTGACCAAAAGCTCTGATTGCCGCAGCTGGCATAATCCAACAGGCTAAAGAGCAAAGCCACAAAGTCTGCTTTGCTCACACTCTTTTCAGCTTCGTTACGCAATCCACCTGGCAAACAGAGAGAGAGAGAGAGAGAGAGAGAGCGTGAGAGAGAGAGATAGAACGAGAGCAGCTATGCTTGTCAGCTGGCATCCGAGTAAACTATTTACCCAAGCGATTAGCTGCCGCTTCAACTGACTTGACAGCATTTGGCAAAGGCTCTGGGGATGTGCCACGAGCAATGTGAAAACAATTTCATATTCAATGTCATTAGAGAAAAGTAATTCAAAGAACACTTAATTTGATTTAAAAAATCAGGTGCAAATGTTATCGATTAATAAGTCTGAAGTATATTATATATTTTCACACAGATATTTAAAAACTCTTTCAAGTGATTTTTATATAAACATGAATCTTACTCAACTCAGCATTGCGGACCAAGAATAATATTACGATTGCATAATCACCATGCGGTATGGGCAGATATCTCGTAAACGCTAAATCCTGATTGCCAGTATAGAGCTTGTCGACAATAATGTCATGCTAAGCGAAGAGAAACTCGTAATCAGTATTAGCTATCGAAATGGCACACATTGGCTACTCACATCATAGGGACAGGTGTGATTGATATTGGAGTGATCTTTGATGGTATTATAATATGCGATCAAAAGTGGATTGCTTGGCTTTCTGAGAAACTTGCATGCATCAAACGTTTTGGGCATGAAGAATGGCTTATAGCCATTACTTTTGCGTAACAACTGGATGTTGACCTGTTTTTGAGAGAAGTTGACACATTTAATGAGGATCTTCACTCTCAACACTCGGCATGCCGCTTACCGATATATTATTAAGGGCTTGTGGAACCATTTTCGCATAGATGTTGATGTATTTGTGAGTACGATTCACCGCCTTGATGTAGCAATATTGAAAGTCTCCATAGCTCTTATCAATAAAGTTGCATTTCAAGTTCGTAAACGCCACATGAGCCGTGCACTACAGAGAGTTGGAAACTTAGAGTGGGAAATACAGAAGAATCACACACAGTTCACTCACCATCAGAAATGTCACGGCTGAGCACAAAACGAACCATTTCAACATGCTGGAAAATCGCATATGAAGCGTAACTTCAAATTGCTCTCGCTCTAAGCGAGTCATAAGCCCAGTCAAAACAAAATCAATGCAAATTATTCTGGCTTTATTATTCGATTCGTATTTATACGATATTTAAACGACATAATGTTTAAAATTATTGATAACTGCCTTTGAAAATAATGTTCGTCTCGACTCCCATACTGATTCAAGCGGATGCAATTAATATACGACGCGTTTTTAGCAAGGGCAGTCAAGGGAGAAGTCAAAGCCGAACACATTGTGAAAATATACAAAGGTAAAATAAAAAAAAAAAAATAAAAAAATAAAACTGCTGGCCAGCCAAGAGCTCAAAACGAGTCCAGACTAAAAGAATTTTATTGGCCTTCACTTAACGCTCATAAATTTGTCTGCCGCGAAAGCGGGTGCTGCGGCTGCGAGACGAAAATAACAACAAGATGTGGGGAAAGAGAGGCAAAGGCAAAGGCGAAAGGCAAAGATGCAAGACAAAATGCGGTTGATATGCGACGTTTCCGCACGCCGTGAACTGGTTCCCAAATGGACTTGGAGACAACAGGCCAGATGTGCGTGTGTCTACGTGTGTGCGTGTGTGTATGTGTGTGTGAGTGGGTGTGTGTAAAAAAGTGCTATTAAATTGGCATGTTACATGGCTATGCAAGCCACCTGCAGCAGAGTATGCGAGCCACCCTTTTCTTGTTACGACCTCGGGTTAAACTTCACTTTACGCATAAATCTGATCAAAAGCGAAAGAAAAAAGTGATGAAGAAGAAGAAGAAGCAGAGTTGCGGCCAGCCAGTTGCCAGCAACGATAACAACAACAATTTTTGTCTGGGCCAATTGCAGTCAACAGGCACAGCAGCAGCTGGTCTAAAAATAGCCATGGAGTCATGTTGGTCAAGTTTGCTGCCCCGACTGGCATTCGCGTTGGTAACGTTAGTCTGGCTTTCAGCTCTGATCGCGTTTCGTGCGTCATTGCATGCGCAGACACACACACACACAGAGAGACAATCACACAGACAGAGAGAGACTCACACACGTGTCTCTCACAAGGCGTTGCACCTTTGCACAAAGGTGCATTGATCGCTCGTCTTGTCTGCGGCTGCAGCCAGATTCGCGCTTCGCCATTCGGTCGTTGCCTCGCAGCGTCAGCTCTCAAAAATTATTGTTGTATTTAAGGTATTTATGTGCATATCTCTGGCCCAGCCATAAAAAGAAAATAAGACAAGCCACAAAGAAAAGAGAAAAGTGCGCAATTCGACATTGCCGCACCACCAAATACTCTAACAGACAAAGAATTTTTAATTGGCAGTTTTATTATGAAATTTTCTCAATAAATTATAGCAGCTGAATTATAACTGTTTTTTATATATTCTCGTACAGATATGTTACAAAAATTTTATTCTACAAACGGATTAAAGTGTGAAAATTCCTTCAAGTTAATTTCACATAAAGCTTAACCTGTGCGACCTCCGCATTGCGAACCAAGAATGTTATTGCGACTATATAGTCCCCATGCGGTATGGGCAGATATCTGGCAAAACTCAATTCATGATCGCCAGTATAGAACCTGTCGATGATAAGGTCGTGCTAAGCGAATGGAAGTTAGGAATCAGTATTATCTATCGAAATGGCGCACATTTGCTACTCACATCATAGGGACAGGTGTGATTGAGATTGGAGCATTCTTTAAACATATTATAATATGACAACAAAAGTGGATTATTCGGCTTTTTAAGAAACTTGCATACATCAAACGAGTTGGGCGTGAAAAATGGCTTATAGCCATTACTTTTGCGTAACAATTGGATGTTGACCTGTTTTTGAGAGAAGTTGACGAATTTAGTGAGGATCTTCATTCTCAACACTCGGCATGCCGCTTACCCATATATTATTAAGGGATTGTGGAACCATTTTCGCATAGATGCTAATGTACTTGTGAGTACGATTCACCGCCTTGATGTAGCAATATTGAAAGTCTCCATAGCTCTTATCAATAAAGTTGCATTTCAAGTTCGTAAATGCCACATGAGCCGTGCACTACAGAGAGTTGGAAACTTAGAGTGGGAAACTCAGAAGGATTACACACAGTTCACTCACCATCAGAAAGGTCACGGCTGACCACAAAACGAACCATTTCAACATGCTGGCAAATCACATGTGAAGTGATTTTCAGGTTGTTCTAGCTCTATAAGCTCATTCCCAATCAATGTAGATTGTACGTATTTACACGGTATTTAAACGCCATAATAATATATTTATCGAAACTCAAGAGATTATTTTTGAAAGTTTACATAATAAATTATAGCAGTTGGATATATTTTCTCACAAATAGTTTATATGTATTCAATGTGAAAAAACATTCAAGTTAATTTCACATAAAGATTAACCTTGCACACTTTAGCGTTATAGATAAAGAATGTTATTTTGATGGCATAGTCGCCTTGCGGTATGGGCAGATATCTAGAAAACGCTAAATCCTGATCGCCAGTATAGAGCTTGTCGACAATAATGTCATGCTAAGCGAAGAGAAATTCGAAATCAGTATTAGCTATCGAAATGGCGCACATTGGCTACTCACATCATAGGGACAGGTGTGATTGAGATTGGAGTGATCTTTGAAGGTATTATAAGATGTGATCAAAAGTGGATTGCTTGGCTTTCTGAGAAACTTGCATGCATCAATCGTGTTGAGGGAGAAAAACGGCTTATAGCCATTACTATTGCGTAACAACTGAATGTTGACCTGTTTTTGAGAGAAGTTGAAACATTTAATGAGGATCTTCATTCCCAGCACTCGGCATGCCGCTTACCGATATATTATTAAGGGATTTTGGAGCCATTTGCGCATAGCTGCTGATGTACTTGTGAGTACGATTGACCGCCTTGATGTAGCAATACTTAAAGTCTCCATAGCTCTTATCAGTGAAGCTGCATTTCAAGTTTGTGAATGCCACGTGAGCCGAGCACTGCAAGGCGAGTTAGGATTAAATACGGAGGAATTAGGCACAGTTCACTCACCATCAGAAATGTCACGGCTGAGCACAAAACGAACCATTTGAACATGCTGGAAAATCGCATATGAAGCGTAGTTTCAAATTGTTCTCGCTCAAAATCAATGCAAATTATTCAAGTTTAATTATTCGATTCGTATTTACACGGTATTTAAATGACATAATTGTAGAGTTGTCAAAAATCAAGAGATTATCTACCAAAACTACCTTTCCAAATGTACACAATAAATTGTCGCTGTTTGATAAGGAACTGTTCGTATTTGTATAGTAGCTAACTAAATTCAATCAGAACTTCTGCATTGTTATAATATCATTATAATTAGAGTTTATGTATTTAATCTATTCTTATTTATATTCATTTCTTTATCTAAACAAATACTTTTCTCCAAAATATATTCAATTCAACTTAATAAATTGCACACATTCTCCCTCATAGCCCAAATACCTTGCGATAGAGTATAAACAACAGAGTCAACAAAATGAAACCGAAAAGTGCGTTCAATGAACGCGCCTCGAAAGCTCAACGCGCGTGCGTTTTGGGGCAACGATCGAAGACGATAAGACGAGTGTGAGGCAAAGCGGACAACGCCAATTGGAGATTGGAATTGGCTTCAGGGTTCAGGTTCGACTGTGGGTTTGGCCGTGTGCCTATGTGCCAAGTGCAGTTGCAATTGACTTTGGACTATGCTCGTAGCCATTCAAATGGGCCAAGACACGCGCCATGGCGGCCAGCTGCCTGCTTGATGAATGGGACACGTGCGCATTAGCTGGCAAGCGCAGAGCAAGCCAACGCAGAGGAGAGCAGGAGAGCAAACCAAACCACACAAGCAGACACACCAATACAATCCCACCACACACACACACACACGCACACATCTGCAATCAGAAATCCATTGGGGCCGGCGCAGTTCATCGGCCAGCGAATCGATTGAGTAACTGACTGACTGAATGACTGCATAACTGAGCGTGCAAACTGACTCAGCTGGGTGCAATAAAACGTAGACACATACGCACACACACACACACACACGTACACAGAGACAGTATCGCACACTGTTGCACTCTCTCCCGTTGATTAGCCAAAGCTAATTGCAGCGTAGCAGCTGAGACTCGTGTGCATGTGTACATGCGCCATTCACTGATTGCTTATGGCTTAAGCATGTCGCGACAGTTGATTTAACTCACTTTCAATAGACCCCGAACGACCCGACCGACGTAAAGACCCAACCGAACCCAGCCAGCCAGCCAGCCAGCCAGTCAGTCCATTGATAATGAATAATAAAAATGCATAATAAAACAATAAAAAAGGCGAAATATATACAAATTGTAATTATTGCATTCAAATATGACCCTGTCTGGTTGTCAGACTATGTCTATCAGTCAGCCTGATTGTTTATCTAACTATTCTCAATGTCGGCTGCACGTTTATTTAAGCTATAAAAATATCATAATTAAAATATATTAATTATCATTATTGCGTATGAGCATTAAATACAGTACTATGCCCTCAATATGTAGGGCATTGAAGGCTCTAAGCCCTTTTAGCAGACATCGGATTGAAGTTTTCTCTGAATGAGCTAGGAGCATAAATTGATGAATCGTTGAGTTTAAGGCATTCGAATAGCTGAATTGTAAGGAAGAGAAGGGAAGATACCTTATAGTATGAGCATCTATATTAACATACTCTCAACATATTCTCTTTTCTTTATAAATTCAGTTTGAATATAAAACTGAGGGCTATATCAGAGAATAGAAGGTGTAAATAGGAGTTCTATTCATGTATAAATGCTTACACAGATGGAATATATAGTTGAATGAAAACTCTTAGATCCAACCTTATTTGAGTTTATAAATGCGTCATCTATGACGCAAGTTGAAGCAGCTGAAACTATTTGAACAGTCCGAACCGTCATAAGAACAAACGTAAACTGACTAAAGAAAAATCTTAGTATAATAAATATAACGAACAATATAAAAGTAACACGAGTCTTTTTCAACTTGTTAAACTTACTTCAATTACAAGTCCAATTCTCAATAGAACTTCGAATTCTGCTATGCTACAATGCCTTTAATATTGTCGTAGCCACAGACCTGCCTCAGCAATGCAATTTAAATTGTGGTAGTAAGTTTTATAGTTTTCAAGTATATTTCAAACTTCCTACAACCAAACGCATTTTTTTCTCATTAACACAGACTTTGCTTTTACTTATAGTTTCACAAGTTAGAATGCAATAAGTTTGAAGAGAAAACTTTTCAAAACTTGTAAATGAGAAGAAACGGAAATAGAAGCAATAGCCAGCAAAGCCTATGTAAAGTTCCAGGTTCTAGATTGCCTGAACTAAGTAAAGTAATCCAACCAATATCTATGTAATATTAGCTAGTATCTTATATATATAAAGCTTATATATTATTTATAATCAAATATTAATTTCATATTATCTACAACTGCTGACCAAAAAATATAAATATTTTGAATATTTGTAAAAGGAATGTTCTAATGTTCTTCCACAGCTCAACCTTTTTCTAAGATACTACACAGTCTCTCATTTTCAGTTCCCTACTTTCCCTAGTCACAGTGTCTACTTTCCTCCTCTGCCTCGTCAAAACCAATTTTTACTTTCAATCTAGCATTTAATTTCTAGCAAACCTTAAAGATAACTGAAATAGCTTACACAAACAAGAGCTGCCGACATAATGCAGACGGCTTTTAATTTAAATATTCATTTAATTTATGTTTCAAGCGTTTAAAGTCTACTTTGCCAAAAAAAATACGTGTATATAAATAAAGCATGCGTCAGCTTAAGACTATAATTTATACGGCAACGCAAGCTGCTAATGTTTATATTAGCCAGGCCTTAAAAAATGAAATCGCACAATCTTCAATCAGCTTAACTGCGCATAAATGTCTAAGCTGTCGTCACACACATTTACTGTCATATTTGTATATTAAATAAATAGAACTTCGACACACACACATACACACTCACACACACATAGAGAGATAGAGACACTGTTTACATAGCATAATGTGAGGTACGCACAAAAATTGTTGTCTCTACTTCCTTTCGGTCGCCTACTTCCGACGCCTACGTCGCGCGGCTGGCAACACGGCGTATGCTTTATTTTGCCGACATTACGTATACGCCGCATAGCACACGACTTAATGCGAATGCTTATGTATGCGTAAATATGCGTAGGCAGCACATTCTTTTTTTTCCCTGTTCTTTTTTTTTTCTCCCTTTTGCTTGTTTGATTTGGCTCGTGTCCTTGAGCTCGCATTACGTTGTGCATGTTTGCATGTGCGTATACGTAACGTGCCACAGACGGCGTACGTGCCCCGCTACCCTTTGCATGTGCCGCGCCAGCCTCGCCTTCGTTAGCTTTAATAGCTACTGGCTTATTCTTTCCTTTTTGCTATACCCTGTAGCTCGCCCAAGTGGTTCAAGAGGGTTTCAGAATTGAGCTCGGTTGACCCTAGAGCAGCTCATTATTTGCCCAGAGCCTGTGAGAGCTGGTAAAACAAATTTGAAACGAATCAAGTTGGTTTCAAGTGATTTGCTCTCTTCAGGGATAGACAAGTTTTCTACATTTGTTATCAATTAAGATTTCGATTTGAAATCCAAAGGAAATTCTGTGGTTTATTGAATGATTCGCAAGATTATGATGCTATCGTTAGTTTAGCCAACATTTTGTCTCTTTTGTTGAGTTATTGAATAAACATGAATTTCCTGGCTTTGTGTGGAAGAAATAGAAGAAATATTAAACTTTTATGAGATCTATTTCAGTGCAGTCTTCGGTACAAATTCTATTGTAATCTTAGATAGTCTTTAACTAATGATTATCTCTATCTATGAAATATTTAATAATACTCGCAAATTCCTTCTCATTCCTATTCCTTGCAATTCCTATTAATTATTTCAGCTAGGGTATTCTTGAGTCCAACTAACCCATTGTCGTCCCACTTTTCGCTAATCCTTCTCAGCTAACTGCCATGTGGTTTTTGCAACGCATATCCTTCGGTCTCGCTTATGCGTAGTTCGCTATCTGCTCGCTCTGCGTTGTGGCCTGAGCTTTTATTTGTTGCTCCCCTGTTCGAGGCCATCCGCAACCGCTGCCCCACCGACCCCCGCAACCACAGTGCACGCCCCCTCGCTTCTGTATGCCACACAGACAGAACACGCACGTAACGTAATTTTGTGGAAGTACCGAGGCAAATGAGGCAGACTACACTGCGCTACATGGTTGGCCATTTTGGGCCATTTCACCAGCACCGGCCGAGTCCTGCTGCCTGCCAACTGTGGGGTATTCAAGAAGTCACCAAAGCTGCCTGGGACAAATGTTTGTCGCTGGGCTTGCCGTTGGCATATTTAGTCTGTGGATCTTGAAGGTTAAATATATGTAAACACACCTTGAAGGCCAACCCCTGTTCGCCTCACTCACTGGCGTCTCCGCTGTCTCGCCTGCCAGCTTGTCTGGCAGTTTTTGACTTGTTTGCCAAATGGCGTACAAGATATTTATGCATATTAAAACAATTTGCTTATTATGCCTGAATAATTGAGTGAGCGACGGGAATAACTTCAAGTTTCAAATCTGTCTAACCCCTCTCTCGCTCTCCCTCTCTCTCTCTTAAATGGCAAAACGGTGCGGCTACGTAATATTAGAAAAAAAAAAAACGAAAAAACGTCGAGTGTGTAGATATAGCAAACCATGTCGCCCTGTCGGCGACATCGAAGCGCAAACTTCAACAAAGCGTTAATTAATACTTGCAAATGTTTGCGCACTGTCTGGCAATGAAAAAGTTAAGCGAAACAACGACGCAAACGAGTCAGGCGAACTGCGAGCGCGCCAAACCAACCCACATAAAGTTAAAAAAAAAACACATACACACACACACAGCTCTCGTCATAAGTCAAATAAAAAGCACAGTAAAAAAAAAATTCCAATGAATAGGCCCTCGTTTTCCCATGGCAAATAATTGTGGGCCAGATAAGCAACCAGCCAGACGGTTAACCAATGAGAATATTAGCCAAACACTCGGCTACACTGCTTGAGAGGTACGATTTCAATGGAAATGAAAGCTCAGCTGATGTACATGTTGTATGTGTGTATGTATGTATATATATAGGCAATCCTCTGTAACAAATTAACGCGAGTGACGAAAGCAAAACAGTCGAACCGCCAAAGCTGATGTAATAAATCGAAATCTAAATCTTTGTTTACAGGAAGTCTGAACAAAAATAATGCTTACAGGTGACTAAAGCCGACTCAAGCGAGAGCTATTTACATTTTCAATAGGCAAATAGGTCTAACTGTGGGCATGTGATGAGAGTTCCAGATTTGGAGTATACAAGTGGGAATCTATAATTGCAAATGCAAAGATCTAGGCTGTTAAGTGAAAATCAAAGTCAGACTTACAATCAATA